GAGCGCCGCCGCGCTCCCAAGCGGCGCACTCTCCAGTGCGCCACCGGGCCGGCCCATAAATCTTTGATTTTTGTAAATCCCGAAAGGTCTGAGTTTTAAGTTACATGGCTATCTTCCCTCATAGTAACTTATATTGCTTTACTTCCCCTATTCCCTCGCCAGGTTGATTTTCAGACAGGTGTTGAGAAACTACTTTGTGAGGCTCCCTACAGCATAGAGTTGGTTGGGGCTCCCTCTAGTGGATTTCCTTGATCCTTCTGAGTCTCCTGAATTTTTGCTTTTAAATTACTTATTGGGCAACTCCCTTCCGGGGATATTTCCCAGCATTTTGCTGGAGTCACGAGTGGTTGGAGAAATAAATTTGGGGAAGAGAGTATGAAGTGTGTCTTGCCCTTGTCAGGCAGCCCCCACCCTCCCTCCAGCCCTGCGCTGTCCTGGAGCCTTGCCATCTGTCTGCCACCCTGAACTCTGGGCATCACACCGGCTAGAATGAAAACAGCAGTAACTTCAGGGCTTTTCTCCTTGTGGATTAAGGGAATTGAAGACTCTTTCTTTAGATAGTTCTCTTCTCCTCAACATTTTTGGTCAATTGCCTATTGTCAGGAGCAGGTCTGTAGACATTGCGACAAGATCTGGGAATAAAAAGTCCTTCCCGTGGGGAGCAGGCAGATTCAGGCAGAAGCTGCTTCATGTTTGTCACCTTGGTGGCTGCCGGGCACTTCACTGACCCGTTGGAAATTTTACCGAGCAAAGAGAAGAGCCATGCTTGTCCTTCCACATGCTTACAGCTCCTGAAATTCAGGGCTGGCTGACCTTGTGCACATCTTCCAAATCTGGAGAATACTTTTCTTCTAATCTTGAAGCATGTTTTCATTTATTCTCCCTCCAGAACACCATTCCCCTGCCCTGACATGAAGTGGGGGTTCCTGTCCTTATCCTTCTCATCTAGAAGCCTGTTTGAAGACTTTTTCCATGGAGTGATTAGTGTCTTCTTTAAGCTGATGCATGGGATGGCATGTTAAGAACAGAAATTACAGAATACAAACAATATATGATGCCTCAGAAGAGCATTTACAAATATGTTCAGTTAACTGACTTTCAGGTGCAGAATGAGGATGTGGTTTGGGGTGAAGGTGAAGCAGAATAAGAAAAGTGCCACATGTCATATGATGTGATACAAGATGAATCAGTTCTAGTGTAACCCAGAATGGGAATGACACTGTGACCAACAATCCAATTCCATCTCTAGCACATTTTCAAAAACAAGCCAAATAAAAATTGTGAAAAAAAGGTCAATCTTTCTTTATTCATTAACCTCAGTTTCTTTTTTCCCCCCTCTTTTTAAGTTTCTTTTTGTTCATTAACTTCAGTTTAGAAATGGCAATAGAAAGATAATTTCAGCAGATCTTTGTCTTGCTTTGAATAAGATCCCACCCATCTGGGAGTTTTGAAGAGATATAGAAGGGTCACTCTTTCTCCTTTATTCAAATGTGAGAGATGGGTCATTTGTGTATATATGTATTTTTTTTTTTTTTAAAGATAACCAGTAAGGGGATCTTAACGTTTGATTTGGTTTTGTCAGCACCACACTCTCCCAAGTGAGCCACAGTCCGGCCCTAGCTGGTTATAATTCTGTCAGACCACCCTGTTTTTATTTTCTTGATATCATTTACCATTATCTGCAATTATCTTGCTCCTTTCTTTCACTTATGTATTACTTGTTAAGTGCCTGTCACCCCCACTAGAATGTAAGATCTCTAAGAAAAGGGACCCTACAACAGATAGGGAAGATGTTGGTAAATATCTGACAAAGGCACGAATGACTCTGTAGCCCTAATGACTGTAGTTATTTTTCTTTTGCTATATTCCAAACTCTTTGTGGACTAGGCCAAAGTCTGTCTAATCTATTTGTTTGTATGTATTATCTGGAAATCCTTGCACAACATAAGCAAATAATAGATAACTGCTAATTAATTAACGAATAATCTCTCCAAGAGGTACTGCCCCTAACCAGGCCAACTCAGAGCTCCATATCGTCCAGAAACCAGGGCAAACAAAAACCTCCTTTCCATCCCCTCCCCACAGCAGACCCTGTCCCAGTCTTCCACCCACTGTGCTTCAAAAGGCTAGTTTCGTCACTTTCTTTGAGCCAACTACTACTGGTTCTTCTATCCCTAATTTATCACAATCTTACCCCTTCCTTTCTATCTCCTGCCAGCAATTCACTTCCAAGACCCTGTTTCTTCAAAACACCTCACATCTCCAATCAGCTGGGGAACTCATCGGGCCCTAGGAGTGTTAAAAGGAAGTGTTTAAGTAAGACTGGCTACTCACCTTTCCTTCGATATCTCTTTTATTCTAAGTAAGCCCAGTTTCAGAGACTGGCTTTGATACTCTTTGGGACCCTAATCATTTTTGCAATCTAGCCCACAGCACACAAATACCTTCGGGGTGCCCTTACCTTTGCCTCGCACCTTCTCACCTTCCACCACAAGATGACCCCAAGCCAGAGACGACTATCTCCCCGGAAGCAAATGGCCCTCAAACACCATGGGGCGGCCCTAACCTCCCCACTTTCTGTCCAGCATCCGCCTCTGGCCTGTAGCCGTCTCAAGCGTCCCTCAGACACAGCCTCTGGCTGGGTCCGACCCTCCACCACCACCACCCACTCACCTGAAGCGGCCCCCGCAGTGCTGGCATTGCTCGCCCCCCCAGCCGGCGGGGCAGATGCACTGGCCGGTACCAGGGTNCCGTGGCCTTGGTGTTATCAGCACCACACTCTCCCGAGTGAGCCACGGGCCGGCCCCTCATTTGTATATTTTTAAAAACTGGCTCGCTGCAGCAGAAACAGAGTGCACATCATACAATTCCATGCTATGCAGACTTTACTGCAGATAATACAGATTGAAACCTTGAACCAAACCACAGATGTGTGCTGTATACCTAGACAAGCACATACACAGATCCACAGGTTAATTTCTTACCTTTAATTGCATAAATCTAGAATTTGAGTATGAAAAATACCCTTGTGCTCCTACACTGTGCTAGGTACTGTGGAAGATCTAAAGTCGACAAGGTAGTATAGCATAAATTAATGTGCAGTAGGTGTAAGAAATAAACGGTTATGGAAATTTAGAAGACGGAAGGATTCTAGCTGGAGTGTTTGACAAGTAGGACAATGTTCGAGCTGAGTTTTGAAGAATAGGATTTTAGGAGCACACTTCAGGCAGAGGGAATGCTCTGAGTAATGGTGATGAAAAAAGAAATAATTGTGGTATTTTACAACTTGGTGAGTCACTCAGAATAGGATATAGGTATCAGGGAGTAGTATAAAAAACTGCAAGGTACTTTCAGTTTGAAGTTAGATCATGACTGTTAATTTTATTTTGGAGGTAATGGGGAGTGTTTACATTTTTTTTTTCTGTAATGCTGTCAGAGCTATACTTTAGGAAGTATATGGTAGCAGAATGGATTGAAAGCAGCAGGGAAACCAGTGAGGAAAAGGTTTCAATAGTACAGGGAAAAGAAAAGGAGGGCCTGGAACTAGGGTGGTGGCACTAGAGAGAGAAAGTTTTGACATTATCTAAGAGCTTTACCTAGATTTTTCCTCAGCAGTTTCTTCTAACTTTCTAGGTGAGACTGATAAAAAGAAATTCTGATATGATACGATAATGTCGATTCCAAAATCAATCTTAGATAAAGACGATTGAATTGCAAACGCAGGATGTCTGAGTGAACGGTCCTTGAGTTCAAAGGTATTTTCTCCTCTCACCAGATAGGTCAAGAGCTTTGTGGAAAAGCTAGGAGGGGGATTTTAGGCGAAACTGAGTACTTATTGACACACCCAGTCATGCAAACTCCCCAAACTGAGGTTCAGGATTAGCAAATTAGGACAGGGCACTTCCTTCTTTGGAAGAGAAGTTCCTATTTTCAAAGTTCGTCCAACGGAACGTGTAGATTAGAGAAGTGGAAGTGACTGGGAGCAACATTTTTGTTCCCTAGGCGGAACGAGAACCCGTAGGCCAGCGTCCGTAGCGGTCTCAGTCTGTGTGGGCGGGGCCTCGTGCTGGCGGTGCGGACCTGCGGTGCAATGCTCTGACAAGGGGAATGTGTTGTTTTCAGGAGGTCCAAGGGCCTGGAAGAAGAGCCCGTAGCCTGAGTGTCTCAAGGCTTTCTGGGGACCCGAACAATCCGCAGCATCCACATTCCTGTCCCTGGTCGCATCTTAATGAAGAGTGTATAAATAACCTTCCCATTTCTCCCATCAGTCTTCTACAATGCGGAGCAGCAAATAACTGTAAGCTCCATTTCCTCACTTGTCAGGCATGGGGGAAAGTGTTGACGTTAAGATTCTTTCCACTGCTACCTGTCTTTAAACATACCAATGACCCACTCCAGCACGGCCAACCTTCAGCTCACGAGGAACATGGAGGTCTCGACTCTGCCTACTGCGCAGACTCCACATTGGACCCCACCCCTTCCCTTCCCCGTTTCTCCGACAGAGGGCGCAGGCGCGATAGTTCTGCTGGCCCCGCCCCAGCCCGCCCCCTGGGGTAGAGGCGGGGGAGACAGGCGCGGAAACTTGGCCGCGGCTTTCCGGGAGCTGTGGGCACGCGGGCTGCTCGCGACGGGGTGGCGCAGGAGGGGGTCGCTGCTCAGTCCGGACGCAGCCGCCCGTTTTCCCGAGTTCGCCAGTCAGCCTGTCAACGCCTGCCCTCGGGCTCCTGCTCTCTGAAGGGGCGCGCCCCGCACTCTCCCGGCACCGCCCACTCCCCTCCCCACGACCGCTCCTCCCTCAGCCCCGATAGCCGGCGGCGGCGGCGGCGGCAGCCGGGAGAGGCTCCTCCTTCACGCCCTCCTTTCCCTCGCTCGCAGCCGAGCAGAGCCGGTCGACCCGGAGGGGCCCCCACCCCTCCCCGGGCCATGGCCGGCAACGTGAAAAAGAGCTCTGGGGCCGGGGGCGGCAGCGGCTCCGGAGGCTCGGGCTCGGGCGGCCTGATTGGGCTCATGAAGGACGCCTTCCAGCCGCACCACCACCACCACCTAAGCCCCCACCCGCCGGGGACTGTAGACAAGAAGATGGTGGAGAAGTGCTGGAAGCTCATGGACAAGGTGAAAGGCCTGAGGGGGACCAGCGGGAGCAGGGTGGGCGTGGGCGGAGGGGCGCGGGGAGGAGAGGGGAAGGAAGGGACAGAGGAAGCTGGGGGAGGGGACGGGTCTTGCGAGGCAGGGGAGGCGAGGAACTGGGGTGACCGGCCGAGACGGGGCTGAGGGCTGGGGAAGAGACCGGGGGATGGGGGTCGGCGGTGGGGGAAGGGCTGCGGTTGGGAGTAGGGGAACGTTGAGGTGTGGTGTTTGGGGTAGGGAGACAAAGATGGGGTGGGGGCTGGGGTGGAGGTTAGCTGGGAAGCCACCGGGGCGGAAGTATGATGGGGGTGCGGAGTTTGGGGCTCTGTGCAGGGTGTAGGGATGTGGGTCACGGAATTGGCCCTGGGAGATAGGAGGGAGGGAGGTGAGGAAGAGTGTTTGATTGGCCTGCTAGGGCTCTCTGCTGGATGAGGAGTCGAGATCTGACACTGATGGAGGGACCTGGGGTCAGGACAACTCCGCAGGCAAACTGTGCTCCGGGTGAGCGTATCGTTTTTTCTCATTAAGGTGTTATACCAAGATAAAGGAAATAGGATGTTTAAATGGGGCAAGGAGGGAACTTTCCTCTACATCTAGAGCTGGCTTAAGTTTTTTATCCTTTGAAACATTGGATGTGGTCCATTGCTGGTTTTGAGATATGCACTGATTAAACCGCAAGATCTGGTTAGAACCATTATCTTCATTAAAAAAATTTTTTTTTTTTTTTTTTTTTTGGGTGGCTGGCCGGTATAGGGGTCGAACCCTGGACATTGCTTGGTGTTATCGGCACCATGCTCTAACCAGTTGAGCTAACAGGCCAGCTCCTAGAACCATTATCTTCTGAAAGATGGATTGACTAAGCAGCATATTCTGACTTCTTCATAACTTCCTCGTTATGTACATCGCTTTTAGCTGTGTTTTACTTTTTTTGTAATGGGCCTGATTCCTTATCGCAGGACTGACTTTAAACTTGTTAGATTAGCTTCTTTGATTACCTTTCTATTTTTGGCAAGTGCGAAAAAATAACTCCTTTATGTTTAACCATTTAGTTTGTCATTTGGGAGAATTTTATTTCCTTATTGTTGTGTCTATATAGTGAAATATAGTAGTTAGTCCCAAGTACTTAAAAATGTTTAAGCAGTTAACGCTTTGTTAGAGAGAATTCAATCCAATGTTTCCTTGATATTTTTCATATTCATTGATAACTTATTTTGGCAAAATTCTTACCGCAGGTGAAAAGTGATTAGAGAGATCTGTCTGGCATGGTTTTTCTTTTCTTTTCTTTCTTTTTTTTTTTCCAAAAAGATGACCGGTAAGGGGATCTTAACTCTTGACTTGGTGTTGTCAGCACCATGCTCTCCCAAGTGAGCCATGGGCCGGCCCTTGTCTGGCATGTTTTAAGAGAATGGTGTTATTTCCTCCAGGGTAAAATTGGTTTTCATTGGTTCCTCTCTGGGCCTAGGTTCCTCTTCTCTAAAGTTCTTCATGGGTTGTTTTGAACTAGAAACAAGTAATAAAATGATTATGAAGCACTTGGCAAATATAAATTTGCTACATAAATGCTTAATAAGTCCTGCGTGTGAATTAACACTCTAGTAGTGCATACCAGTGGTTTCAGTGCTGGTTTTTCTCATGTTAAATAATTGGTATTGTAATTAGTGACACAAGTATTTGTGTGTTAATTATATTGGTGGTGTAGTACTAATTTTATTATTAGAAATTTTAATAAAACCATTACAGAAAGTTAGGTGTGTAAAGGAAACTTTAAATGTGTTGACATCTTTAAAAAAAATATTGAATGTATTCACAATCTGAAGTTTATAGGTTTGCGTTTTGAGAATTTACTGTTAAGGACTAGAAAGGTTCCTCTGCATAGAAAAAAATTTGCATTTCTAATTAGTTTCTCATATAAGACATGTGGGTGCAATGATCAGAATTGTATTGGTTGGTGACCTCTGCTTAACAATAACAAACTCGGGCTGGCTGGTTGCTCAGTTGGTTAAAGTGCAGTGTTGTAACATCAAGGTCAAGGGTTTGGATCCCTGTGCCCACCAGTTGCCAAGAAAAAATAATAAACTTTTCATTGAACTTTTGCGTTTCTGTAAATAAAGGATAGATTGTAGATAGTCCTATTCTACCAGGTAGTCCAAATAAAACCCTCCCTTAAGTCTTACTCCTTTATCTCTTTAAAGTATGTGTATTGAATTTCGATGTCTTCTGCAGAATGTTTAATTATTTGGGAAGAATAAAGACGACTCAGTTTTGAGTCAAAATGCTTTTCAGGTTTTGACAGTTCAAGGGAAGAGTAGGCTTCTAGGTTTTCCTCTCTAATGTAGGGAGAGGGATGTTTTATTCTTGTGTTACTTTTTATTTCTTTATTCTTGTGACGATTTTAGTACTGTCTGTGCCTTATATCACATAATACTAGTTGTGCTGAAACGAAAACTTAGTATTTCTGATGTGTTAGTCCGATGAGTTCATACTGCTTTCCTGCTTTCCGGATTTTTTTTTTTTTTGCTGGCAGATAGAGGGATCAAACCCCGGAAACTGGTGTTATCAGCACCGCACTCTAAACCACCTGAGCTAACCGGCTAGCCCAAGTTCCCAGATGTTCTGAATACTTCTGTAATGTTACAGTGCACTATCTCTTATCCTTGATTTTTTTTTTTTTTTTTAAAAAGATGACCGGTAAGGGGATGTCAACCCTTGGCTTGGTGTTGTCAGCACCATGCTCAGCCAGTGAGCAAACCGGCCATCCCTATATAGGATCCGAACCCGTGGCCTTGGTGTTATCAGCACCACACTCTTCCGAGTGAGCCACGGGCCGGCCTGATATTTTGAGCATAGGATGTTCTCTTTAGTCACTTTTTTTTTGTTGTTAAAGTCTTAAATGTGTCACTATACCTTCCTGACTTCATGCAATTTAAGTGGTGAAGAATATGCTGTCAAATCCACAGATGTCGCACACATTTATTAAATTTAGTTCCTTTTTTTTTTTTTGGTGTCTGGCCAGTGCTGGAGATCCGAACCTGTGGCCTTGGCTGTACTCTAACCAACTGAGCTAACCTGCTATCCCTAAATTTAGTTCTAAGTCATTATTTCCTTTTTTTTTTTTTTAAAGATGACCGGTAAGGGGATCTCAACCCTTGGCTTTGTGTTGTCAACACCACGCTCAGCCAGTGAGCAAACCAGCCATCCCTATATAGGATCCGAACCCGTGGCCTTGGTGTTATCAGCACCGCACTCTACCGAGTGAGCCACGGGCCGGCCCTTCCTTTTTTTTTTTTTAAAGATGACCGGTAAGGGGATATTAACCCTTGACTTGGTGTTGTTAGCACCACACTCACCAAGTGAGCTAACTGGCCATCCCTGTATGGGATCCAAACCCATGGCCTTCGTGTTATCAGCATCACACTCTCCCGAGTGAGCCACAGACTGGCCCCCTAAGTCATCATTTCAAACCTCCTTTATCTTTGTTGTTGAAGCTCGGTGAATATTATTCTGGCCTACTATTAGTCAGTTTATTCGTTTAGCACTGGGAACTGTTAGTCTCCTTCCTTCCCCCAGTACTGGATATATGCCAGTGAAGAAGTTGGTGTAAGTCATGGATTCTGGTCAACACAGGCCCAGTTTACAAATTTACTAATCCCTTATGGAACTTAAACTCATTGTTGGAAAAATGCTTGTGCTAGAATGCTTGTTATTAAGTTAGACATAGTCAGCCTCTAGGTTTTTTTTTTTAATGTTTTTTGCCACCCCAGGATATTGTACTAAACATTTGTGTAAATACTTGTAGGTGAAGAAAGTGGCTAGTAAGTAAAGAGACAACTGGACAGGGAAAAGAGGAATGGGGAATGGAGAGAAAAATCATATAAATTGCCTTCAGTGTAAATTTAAAAGTATTAAGGTGTTTAGTGAAAGACTTAAAATTCTTTTGTGAAATACAGCAGGGGTAGGCAAACTTTGTCTGTAAAGGGAAGGATAATAAATATTTTAGGATTTGCTGGCAACACGCTCAGTCCCATATTTGTTGTTGTTATTGTTGTTACAACTCTTTAAAAATGTAAAAGCCATTCTTAGATCGAGGATGTACAGAAAAAAGGCTGCAGGCCATAATTTGCCCACTCCTGAGCTAGAGCATCATGCTGGTAATATTTAGGTCTGTACTATGTTTTTATTTTTGATTAGCTTACATCATTCTTTAAAACATTAAGGTGTTGATTATTATTATTATTATTTTTTTCCTTTTTGTCTTTTTTCGTGACCGGCAACGGGATCGCAACCCTCGGCGTTGTGCCCGCACCTCGCTCAGCCAGTGAGCGGCAGGTCTGTATGTGGGATCCGAACCCTCGGTGGGAGCGCTGCTGCACTCCCAAGCGGCGCACTGTAGCAGTGCGCCACCGGGCTGGCCCCTTGATGATTATTTTTAATGGGAGATGATTTATTAGAAAAATGCTTCCCTTTAAAGCATGAGTTTAAAAGTGTTTTCATTTTTTGAGTTTAAAAAAAGTATTTTCAAGAGATTATTATTTCCTTCCTTCTACCTATCTTCTCCTGCTTGCTCTACCTGCCCTCCCCCTCACTCCCCCAAAAAAGCACCTTGAGTAATTTCCTGTATTATAGAAGTAAGCTGCGCATAGTAGAATTTATAAATCGGTGTGTTTCATTAGACTTCTCTCCCTCTTTTCTTCTCCCCCTTGCTTCCTTCTTACCTTTCTGTGTTTGCATGCTCACTAAGTCCCAAGCGTAGTGCTAAGGTGTAAGTTCTTACACTTCAGAGATTATATTCTAAGTGATATGTAAGTGATAAGTGACTACAGAAGAAGTATGTCCAAAGTGATACAGGATCTCTTAGTACATAATTATTCTGTGTTTATCTTTTTTTTTTTTCTGTGTTTGTCTTAATCTTTCAAGATTATAAACTTCTGGAAGGCAGCAACTGTAATCCACTTTCCTCCTGCAGCATTCAGTCATGGTGCCTTACA